ATCAATTTCAATCATGTAAAGTCCCTTGAGAATTGAATAGCTATGAGGAAACTTTACAGCAAAGAAAGCAAGAGTGATAGCAGTATTCTGAGGGCTACCTGGGCTCCAGGAACAATAACACCTAATTAAGTAGCCCAAAACTTATTCGAAATGGCCTGGGAAACATCAGTCTAGCTAATAAGAATGTGAATTATCACTATTAAATTTGCACTTTAGGGAAATATTTGATCTTTCATTTGTTGTTGTTACGTGACATCGAGTCAGACCCGACTCATAGCGACCCCTCCTTGGTTTTCCAAGGCAGTATTACTACGGAAGTAGATTGCCCCATCTTCCTTCCGAAGAGTGGCTGGTGGGTTTGAACCGCCAGCCTTCTGGTTAGCAGTCAAGTGCCTTAAGGCACTATACTACCAGAGCTCCTTGATCTTTCATAGTGTGATAGTTATAAAATATTTATAGACATCAATTACTAGGCTAAAGGTCATGCGGAAGAGGGTATCAGTCATCTGATATGCTTAAACTTCAAGCTTTTATAAACTATAAAAAACAAAACTCACTGCCATCGAGTCAATTCCTACTCACAGTGACCCCCTTTGGGTTTCTGAGGTGGTAAATCTTTACAGAAGTAGATTGCCCAGTCTTGCTTCCACAGAGTGGCTGGTTGGTTTGAACCACCAATCTTTTGGTTTGCAGTCAAGTGCCTTAGGCAATACGCCACCAGATCTCCTTATGTTTAATCAAATATTTTCTTATGATTCTGCCAACATGTGTGATTCTGTTCTGATCTTTTTTATTGTGTCTTCCCCTAGTTGATTCCACCTCATAGTGACACTACGGGACAGAGTAAAACTGATCCATACAGTTTCCAAGGCTATGAACCTTTATGGAAGCACATTGCCACATCTTTCTCCCACTGAGAAGCTAGTGGGTTAGAACTTCTGATCTTGCGGTTAGCAGCCAACTTAACCACTGCACCCTTAGGTCTTCTCCTTTACCTCTAGTAAGCAGGAAAACAGTCCAAGAGGAGTGAAAGGAAAGACGGCTCACTTTCTTTGTTCTGAAATTTAATCTCCAAGAGAATTCCAGCCTAGATAAATGTCCAGGAACATGTCTGGTCACCTGGAGTTTTTATAGCTCTCTAATTAAGTATAAATTAATTCGAACAATTAGGAATAATTATAATGAGCAATTATGCAAAATATCGTGTGAAACATTAAACATAATATGGGGATGAATAAGACACCCACACTACATTAAAGGAGCTCCTTTTTGTCTCTATCTGTGTCACTTGGACATGAAATAAGGAAGTAGGGACAATTCTTTAGTTATTGGGATTGTGTGGGCTTGGGGGTGGGAGTCATGGCTACTGATTCCCAGATTCAAAGGAAATGTTACTTGCACCTTGCAATCTGATAAGGAAATGCCCGACCCTGTGCAAAC